CATATATTGTATTGATATTGACGGCGCCAAGCCGGCTTGGCGCGGCCTTGCATGAAGTCGCTTCAGAGAATAGTTAATCGCTATTATTAACATTTCACAATTGTAGCAAATTTAACAAGCAAAGAATGGGGCATTATAAAGTTTGCAACTTCAGGAAGGAAATGTCTCCTAGAACATTCAAGAGAATTTGCTGGAAAAACTGTCATTTCTCCCTAAGCCAAACAACGAACGTTTTTATACATTTTAAGATATATTACGTTAAATGTTCCTGAGGACAAAGTAATTATTTTTTCGTGTAAGACAGATCCAATTCAATTGAATTTAATCGTATCCAGAAAACATATTCCGCTCAACCGTTTGATGCAAAGTTTCAATTTTTCGTTTCGGTAGTTCCTCAGTAATTATTCAAATGCCAGCAAAATTAATTAATAATAATTAAATAAAAGGTAAATTAAAACGAATGCAGGCTTTAAAACGAATGCAGGAATTGTTTGTGTAATTTTAAATGCGTTTATTTGCTTTAAAGTACGTTTAAGTGTTTTGTAAGTGAGGCAGGGATGCGGGGACCCTCCGAAGTCTATTTCTGTTAACCGCTAAGTAGCACATTTATTTAGATTGTTAGATAAGCAAGATTTAAGACCAGAAAGTTTGCACTAATGGCATCGAAATATATCACCTCTATGATAAAACCATATATCCGCTAGTATTTATGAGCATGTTAAAAACCGGCATTTGGTCAACTCAGGTATAAGTTTGGGATGAAAGGAAGGACCCGAAAATTTCTTTGAAAGAGCTTGGGTTAATGTTGAACGGACCAATCGGAAATATTGATACTTTTGTTCAGGAACAATAGACTTTGGTGAGACCTTGCTTGCTGGCTAGATAAGAGAATATGGCTAAAAGCAGACTAGGCGATTATCGCCTTGCTTTTTCGCATGGGCTAACGTAATTCAATGGAGCTATTCACATTGCAAAAGTCGCACCGCGCGTATGGTCGTTCGTTTCAAATAGCGACTCGTTTTTATTGCTTTGGCCGGTCTATGCTTATAGGGCTTTACCTGAATCTGTTCACACGTTCAAATATTTTCAAGGGGTTTGGGCCTTGCATTTTTTTTTTGGG